CAGGTAACCGAAAGGGTTTAGGTCCGGTGACAAACCTGGATATTCCATCTTCTTCAGGTACTCAACGCCCTTCCATTCCAAGTAGGCGAGAGTTTTTCCAACGCCCTTCGATTCCATGTGGTGTCACCCAATCCTGTAGCAGTACGAAGTTTCCAAGATGGTACAGGCGACGACATGAAGGCAGGATATTCTCCTCGAGCTGTTCGATGTAACGTCAGCGTTCACTTTCAGTCCGGGGTCCACGAAGAAAATATCGGTCTTCCCATTCCAGGAACTTCCGGTCCATACCATCAACCCGCGCCTTGGCGACTGCGGTGAAGATGATATCCTGGACCGTAGCGACGTTGTCGGAGCTGCTCGATGTTGGAGGTCTTCCAGATCAAGAGTGCCGGTCTCCAGGTAGCTGTCCATGGGTGGCTCCATACAAGAAGTTTCGCAGCTGTTTGGAGGTGACGTGAATTCCAAAGGCCTTCTCCAGTTCGGCTGCGATTGGAGATGACTTCATATTTTGGTGTACATGAAGGTGATGGGCGAGAGCCTGCTCCTGCTTATCGAGGAACATCTTGGGTATCTTCCCCTGGTACTCGTATCCACGTCTTCTGTCTGGGCTGCGTAACTTTACTAATATGTGACTCGGCCTAAAGTGTCTTTTTTGCCCTCCCCCCCCTTGTATAGCAGTGTGCAGGTGGAGCCCATAGATTTTGAAGCCCACTAGAAACTGCTCAGAATTTTAATGTGATGCTGTCATTTGGCAGTCGACTGTTTATAAATCACGCCAGATGAAGTACTGTGCGTGAGCTGAAGTCATTCAATCGTTTTCCAGAAACTACGACTCCGATTCAACCGGTTACGGCTCGTCCTCCGATACTTCCAGTCCGCTGACCGCATCGCAATTTATTCTCAGACCGGTCACTGTTCTAAGTTCATATTCGCATCATTCACCATACGAAAAGGTGAGTGGGAACTTTTCAGCGACGCAGGATTCCAGGGGAAACAAAGTGCGTGGAAGTGGGTGGAGGGAGATGCATGTGTGCCTGCGTGTGTCCCGATGGGAAATGGCTCAAATTTATTACTTACCGAAGATGCTGGGAGTAGTGAATGATCAGGAATAGTGATAGGGGTAGAGGGAAAGGGTCAGTGTGCCGGTTTCGCTAGGACGCGCCACACATGCTTCATATTCTCGGGATCATAGGGTGTTTGAATAGGTACTTGGCCGGTGGAACGACGTGAGAGACCGTTCAATGATCAGACTTTGGCGAGATTCTGTCATTCAGATTCTAAGGGTTAACGAAGATCTGGGTGATCCACGTGGGTTTCATATTTCAAAACATCCGGATTTCCACCCCCCCATTTCACGGGTTTCCTTTCAAAAAAATTCTCCCTTTTTCTCAAAGCTGCTGTTGAATGAGGTGGTAGATGGTGGGGTGGGGGTGGCAGAAGGGTACATAATTCACCTGAAACAAGAAAAGTTGGAAAGGTCAGCAATTGAGAACGTTTTCCGCGACGACGAATACCCTCCCTCCCTTGCTGGGAATGACCCTAGTAAACGACGTGTTCTGACTTGAACCCGTTGGGACACGTCTCTGTACTGCGCCTAGAGCTCGGTACTGTTCATGAGCGCTAGCCCTCAACCAGACTAGAGACCCTCTTACCTATTACGTTTAGGATGATTATCGAGAATTCTGGAGAAAGATATCCTCAGATTACTGACTCCTCCGTTGGTTGTGGGTAGTCGGCTTCCTAGAAGGGGTGGGGCGTGAGCTGTGCTTGTATCTGTCACTCTGCCTCACGTGCTGTCACATCAAATCCGCAGTACGCGGTGGTCGAAGGGCGGAGTCATTGCATTTCGAAGAGTCGCTAAGTCGGTGTCTGTGTCCACTGATCCCCCCCTCCTCCCCCCTAATCTCTACCTGTGACACAAAATGTACAGAGGAGCGTCGTAGTGGGAGAGGACCAACAGCGGGCCTGGCTCACTGCACGGGCAGCCATTCTGCAAAGCGACGGCGCAGTTCGGGACGACCGAGCGAGCGCATTTCTTTCCATCGACGCTGTTGTCGACCATCTAGAACACCCTTTTCTTGAGTGTACGTTTTACCACTGTGGTTAGACGAGGCCTCTGCACTCCATCTTCACAGAGTATTCACAGGTTCCTCCACAAATTGGACTAGTAAACGAGGGTAGTGAAAGCAGTGAGAGATGAAAATGCCCCCCGCCCCGCCGATAAATTGCGGCTCAAAGCGCCCTCTACAAAAATGTAATTCGTGCATTTCAGTTCAACTTGGATGATTATGCCACGTCCAGCTCTGATTCGTCATCATGGTCGTCGCGAACCACGTCTGAAACTGTAAGTCACACTATTTCAATAGTAAATACTTCATTCTCAGCTCGATTGGATCGTATTCTTGCCTTGAACTCAGGAAATGTTGGATCTAGAGCCTAGTCGAATTTCAAATATTTGAGACAGCTGAGCTAAAAAAGTTTGTGTGGTGGACTAGAAGCAACAACCAAATCCGGAGATCTGCTTTGCTCATATTGCTGTCGCATATACGAGTTAGCGGAGCATCCTGTTGAGACGTCCATGCGGGCATACGCGTTGGAGTGGCGCCAGACTAATTCCACCAATGACTTCTCACTAGTTTTAAGGATTGGTGGAAACAGGCCAAACCCGTTCCGCACTGACACGCCCCGCTGACCTCAGTGATAACGACTTCTTCCGTAGCAGAGGGCTTTTGAGAAGAAAGTAGCTCAGTTGGTCGTCTGCGGAGTCTTTCGGGCGCAGTTCGACTTAGTGGGGCGTTATGCTGGTATGAGTCACTGCTATTGCTTCCCATGGAGACCTGTTAACTCCCTGTAATGTTCTGCCATAACATGAGCTTCGCTCATTTTTGACAAGAATCTACAGGTTTCACCAAGGTAAGACGACAGTATTGACAAGATCCTGCGAAAAAAACATGCGAATCTACTCAATGCCCCCCCCAAGCCGAACAGCGCCGATTTCAAGCACATTCGGAATTGTGGTCACTTTTGACGAGTTTTTTTGATTATGGATTCTTGAAGGAACATGCTGGAGTAACCGGTTTAGTACCATACAATTAACTTCCTCGGCTGCAATTCTTCGTCCATTAGTGGTTTCTACTTGCAGACTCAACACCTTCTGGCCACAGAAGATCTATTGAGGAATGAATGAAATTATGGGCTATTACTGGACTAGCTGATGACCAAGGCCATCTTTTTGTAGCCTTTGAAGGATTTAGAGGCTGTTATCAGGCATCTGGCTCAACTAAGGCAGAATCCGATGTTGCATACGTACGTGTCCGTACGAGCGCAGCAAGGGGTTGCCACAGCTCTTCCTAGCCCTGCTCAAAAACGTGTACTCTCGATTATAACGGAAACTAGGTGCACCGTTGTGAGCCAGGGCGCACACCCTGTCGCTAGGGGGAATTTTTTGCGAGGTAGAACCTCCCAAATCTCCTCCTCTGGTACGACCTATGTTCCCTTTCTCGGCCTAAATATCACTTTACCTTTTCTACGATTTCCCAGCGTAACTTTCCCCAAATTTCCATCGTTTCACTTTTTTTCTTTAGAAATTATCGCCGTCGAGCCGGGGTGAGGTTGCCACTTAACAACCACAGAACTTAGCTTTCAAAAAAATTCATTTTTGTAGGACTTCGACAGTGCCCCCAACTAGGGGAGACGAGATGTTTTTTCGCGCCATATACGACCCCCTCCCTTCAGTAGCCAAACAGGGCCCCTCTGAGGATCCTCATTGTGCCTTGCCCTCTATAGGGCTACTACCTAATCCCCACTCCCATCACTTCTTCGTTGGCTGTATGTTCCATAGAAAGGAGGTGAATCGATTATACAGAAAGTTAAACTTAAGCAAAATCCATGGAACATAATATAATGATAGCTTTTCGGTAACCAAAGAAAACGTCCGTTAAATCGCGGATGTCTTGAGGCATTCGCCGTGGAAACTCCAACATTTTCTGCTTCACAGGGCCTCAATCGCAGATCCTAAAGTGGAAAAACCTGTTGCATTCCTTACCTAAAAAAACCATTGATTTTGCGATGCGAACCTCCGCTTTGTTCGTCGCAACGGTACATTGAAGAATGTTAACTTTTTTAAGCTTGCCGGAGTTCCGTTGTCCAGACAAACCGATCCAGGTCCCCGGAGCGTGCGTTGGAATCGCGAGCTAAAATTTAGGATATAGAGTTGAGTGGTAGGTGGATGGCGTCAGTGAACCTTTTCGGGATGCGATATGTCTGCAACCTCCTTAAGGCGAGAAGAATGCTCTGCCGATGAGCTGCTCTTGGGCAGTTAGGCGACAGGGAGGGGCATTTCGCACTTTCGCCCTTCACTAGTTCCGCTTTACAATCTCTTACACTGGTGAAATCTTGTGACATCTCTTAGTGAATGTGGAACGAGCTTCGTCTAGCTACCACTTGCCAGAACTGTAACTTGTGTAAAAGCCTCACTGGAATGTCAGGAAGTAGGCAAGAGTGCAAAATTGCTCCCCCCGTCGACGAACGACCCTGCTGTTTTTTTGGGAATACGCCACGCATTTCGCTTGGGTATGTAACGATTCAGTTGCCGTTCACTGCTGGGTCGCTGCGTTAGTGGGTGTGGCTAGCGACGCCGCAGCCGCTGCGTACGAGTTATCTTGTCTCATGGCTCATTGCGACGTGTAAAGGGATCACAGGGCGCAGCATTCGGTGACGGGAGGCATTTTGTACTTTTACTGCTTCCCTGGTTCCGGTTTACAAGTCTTCTCTGGCAAAAACCTGTGAACTCTTCTGGAACATGGAGAAAGCTCGCTCAGCCATCATGGGTAGAACCTGATGGAACTCGAATTAGGCTGCCTAGATAGATCGACAAGTCGATGGAAAGTAGCAGAAGGGCAAAATGCCCCCCCCCGTCGCCGAACTGCGCCGGATCACAGATGTGCAGTCCCAATGGAATGGCTCTACGAGACGAAGCAAACTATCGCAAGTCTCTTGCACCCATCGCAATGTTGGGTATGGTAATGCAACCGTGCAAACTGCCGCGCCATTCTCCGCGCGCGACGTAAGCGCGGCAGTACCCCTCGCCGCTCTTCCGATTCCCCTTCCAATTCAGGCAACTTTATTGTGCATTCAGACTGCGATGGAACTCCTTCGAAAAGTGCGGGAAAGCCGATGTACATGTCACTGTTTTTAACCTCTCAGATGAATCTGCTGCCACTCCACCCGTGCCGAGATATGGAAGGCTTTTTGCGTAGGAGGAAGCCGCTCAAAACGATGTGAGCGGCTCCTCCTGTCACCATACCACTTTTCAGTAAATGACCATTAAAAAGATGGGGTGGGTGCTGATACTCTGATCAGTCCTCTCCCCTTCTCTTTCCCGCTCCTCCAGTACTCAAGCAAGCGCTAATGTGGTTTATTGATACCAATTTCGTGCTTGTTTGTTGTATTGGCACGGATAAATGCCACTACGAGCGTTCTTTCGTACTAATGGTTTTATCCTCCGATACATCTCGTGGACCCATAAAGAATCGAGGGCTCGTTTGTCTCGAGCGACATTCGATCCACATACCATAGAAGTGGTAATGGTGTTCTTGCTATGGCGGCATTTCTAGCTCGTGTATTCCTCACACGACCGGTTGACGTGGTCAAGCATTTGCCATTTATTATCTGCTAATCATATCGGTTTTTCCTTATGTGCCACATTACAGTGGCAATAATTCTCACTAGAATCCTGAACGACGTCTAATGACGGGTTCATTATATTGAAAAACGCAGAAATATCATGAACCCGTCACTAGACGTCGTTCACGAGAACTAAAAATGATTTTGCTGTAGATGATTTGTAGAGCAGCGTAATTTCACCTTGTAGGTATACGAACTTCAAAAAGCCGCAGCACAACCCCATTTCTAGTCATTTTCTTCGACTCTGAAAATAGCGTAAGGAAAGAGCTACCGAATAATCTGTAAGGGAAAAGATGGGTTTCACACATCACCTAAAAAGATGGGTATCCTCAAAGACCATAATGATGAACCAGTGTGAAGGACCAAACTGGTATGTGCCGCGCACTCCACTTGCATTCACAATCACTGGCTTTTGTATGCCATTTGGCTGGCATAGCGACTTACGGGGCGTGTGTCAGCTGCCTTCAACTTACATTTGATCTCATAACTAACATACGCCGTGAGTTGGGAATCCCCAGAGAAGTGGAATCGTATTTGGTCTGGTTGCTGGGAAGGGTCCTATTTTTCCCCTTCCCGTAAAAAACGTTTTCGCGAGGTTCGATTATTGATTCTTCTCGGGCCTTATTTAAACAGCCACATACTTCCCCCTCCTCCTCAACTAAAGTTAACAAGGCAGAATTGCAATTTTTTTCGGTACGGGAAGGTGCAGCTAGGAAGTTGGGAAGACTCGATCGTACAGGAAGAAGCCGTTTGGGAGTTGTATTTCGCGAAAGAGTTTTCCCTAGCCACGGTCTTGCTCGCGCTCGTTTAAACTATGTGGCAACGAGGGACCAATTTGAACCTATCAGGGACAACCACCCCTTTTGTTTTGATGGAGACATTCTGCCGAATGATTGCGTTATCCTATTGCATAAGCACGATGTGTGTTCGTTTATTCTGTTTACGATCGCGTTAATCACACCCAAAAGGTGGCTTATTGGCTTAGTCTGCGATACACTTGCTTATTGAGGGCAATCAACAGTTGTGGGCTATTAGAATCTCTCAAGTTTGGGCGACATTATGTCGGGATCTTTAGCCCAGACAACTTTTTGTCACAAGAAATCGGATTGGTTGTGGCAAAGGGGATTAGATTCAGTTTTCTCGAACAGGCAACCCCCTCCAAAGCACATCATTGGGTGGGGATTTTGGTCGACTCCGTACGGCCCCCCCCCTAGAACCACTCTCAGGAGGCGAAATGCCAAAATACGATCTCCCTCCTTTATAGCGTCCCTGAAACAAAAGAAAATCAAACATCGAAAAATTTCTCCTTAGATCAAATACGCTCCCTCCTCCCAACGTCCAAGTACGACCCCTTGGAGATTCCCTACCGAAATGTGCCCACTTGTAAAATGTCTCCCCCTCTCTTCCTCATTCCCAAAACACACCGCACTTAAAACGGAAAAAACCGAGAGCAGTCAACACCGAAACCATTCTCTCCAACCCTTCCCCCCCTCCCTCAAGCGACTGAAGACGACCACCTCTCGCTGTCTCAACGAACAACATGCCTTCTACCGTGCAACATGCCTTCTACCCCTTCCGAGAGATTCGGCAATTTCATCCTTTGTCCCACTCAGAAATCCAGCCATATTCCCAGATGCCAGCGCGGCAAGCCAAACCTTTCGCCAGTGCCCGCGACTTTTCTCGCTCGAGGAGGTGTGAATTTCATGCCAATGGGTCACACTACAGCCTGGGACAAGTTTCCAGCGAACTTATTTT